ATAAAACCATCTTCAATAAGATCATGTTTCGATTTTTCAAATCATATTTTGTGTAATTGGAAAGAATTTGAAACGATTAATTCGAATTTCAGCGCTTCGTTTGAGGGGTGTCAGTCTGCAAGTAATTTAAGAGGCAGTTAAGATATTTCTGAAAAATCTTTTCTTACGTCTGATGTTTCATGTAAATGTTGTTGATGTAAGTAATACTTTTTAAGATTTTCAAAACAATTCACATTGAAAGAAACATCATTTTCTATCCCTTCTGGAAGTTGTGTAGATTACATTACGTCGAGTAGCGTTAGCGTTAAAACATATCCTAGATCATACGAAGAAAATATTTCTTAGTTTTTAAAACTCGTTTGACTGTTCCATATTATTTATATATTCTCTTGTGGCGATACGTCATGAAGGTCACGTCAACTGGTTTTGCAATATTGCATATTTCTACAGATAATTTTTCTAGAAATCCAATTTTATAGCAAAGAAAATGGAAGGGAAAACACTCTCCAATGCAAACAAACATTTAGAGTTATCCGGATTGGCATGCATTACCTTTATTCATTTAAGTGCTCTGTACGATATGACGCACCAGGAATTATTTTATTCCCTCAAAATTAACAAAATATAACATTTTTTTTATATCAAATAATTGCCAAGTAGTGGGATAAGTCATTATTATTGGTTATTTCGATGCTTGTTTACGGCGTTGGAGTCAAGGATGCAGCCGGCAGCCCCTATTTTACAACCTTTTTAAAATTTGAAAGTTCGTGAGGCTTCCGCGGCGGTCATGTGAATGATCTTGGCTGTCCGGGTGACGCGGTCGAAGCTGTGTTGCGAGTTTGACCATTTTGTCGTGGTCTTCTCAGGGCTGGTATGCCATACATGCAGGGATTGGTATGCCGCATGGCATACAGCGGCTGAGGAAGACCACGACATGATGTCACGCCGGACAGCCAAGATCATTGCACTTTTTTAATTTGTCCGGAAGTACGAAAACATTTTTAAACTTAGCTTCCGTGACTATTTACTTGGGGAAAGAGTATTCACGCAGATGATCTTTAAGGCAGATAATAGTCGGTTTTTGAAGCCAAAAATCGTATGTTGTATCTGGGTAAAGGCACGTGCGTAATACTCCATCATTCTTTCCGGTATTGTTCACAACGGAAGATCTTTAGTAGCAAGGTTTGGATGAAGAGCTTAGAAGTAAAATTCTTTAAAATAAGATGTGAGGAAATGGAATAATGGGTGATATTTACTTAGGTTATTCATTTTTTTATAAACACAGTTTCTCCAAATCGGGAATAGATTTTTGGGGAGTAATGTCTCAACAATTTCAAGAGCGTATTCGACGGAAGAATGTTTAAAAAGATGAGTTATGTTATTTATTTTCATACAGTTTATCCACGGTGTGTAATAGTAGTATAGCATTTCTAGTTTTGGTAACTGTGAAAATTGATTGAGATGCAAAGCTAAGCATAACATAAGGACTGTCAGCATAACGACAAGCAAAACTGTCAGCTAAAGCATATACGACTGTCGGCTTGGCGTATCGCAAGTCGCGTGCTTCTGCGGGGGCTGCCGCACGCCGCTGTGCGACAGAAGGTTCCACAACAATCAGGTGGGTGAGTGCAATGGCGGGCAAAAAGGGGAGGGGAACGAGGTGTTTTCTAAATTTCACTTTACGAAGCGGAAGATTTGCATGATAGTGCACGGCGTTTGGATTCAGCAAGCATGTCGCCATCGCGCTATAAGCCCACATTTTTTAATTTTTTCTCGAAGTATGAGAATTAATTTTAATATTTGGTTTTTGCTAAGATTTTTGGGGAAAGGGGCTTCGTAGCGTAAATTATATTTTAAAAAAGGCGGTCAAATGCCGTTTACGATCGAATGGACATTGTTCAGACATTATCAGTAAGCAAATTCCACTGTAATAGTGCTGGGATCTTTGGAAATTTTCCTACAAGTTTTTTCGGTGCTTTAGCCTTAAGACAAGGTAAAAGAGATCTGCTTAAATATAATAAACTTTTCAATTGCTTATTATACTCTGATGCAGAACAATTAAGAAAGTGTGCAGATTGTTGCTCCAGAACCAACTTTAAAAGTGAAGGAAGTATTATGTCCTCGACTGAAGCTCTACGACTTCATCTTTATTCCATATTTGACTGGCTTTGGGATTATTTGAATTTGCCTGAATGGACATTTTTCCCCACACCTTCAGGTTTTTGTCACATCCATCATACCACCCGAAGAAATATAGTTTGAAATTGTCTTCGTAACCATATTAATATCGCTTTCATGGGTCAAGCTGTCTTTTATTGATTTTGAGTTTAGAAATCACAACTGTATAGCCTCAGTACGAATTCAATTGTGACCAAAAACATTACGCATTTGAATTATGCTCATCCGCAACATCATCTGCCATAATTTTGTGTATGGTTGTGTGAAGCCTATTCATCAGAAGATACATAAGCTATAGCGCTTTCTTTCGGCAATCTGTCTCGACTGAATTTGACTCTAATTCAATATCATTTTGTTTGTGTAGTTATAAATTTGTAACAAAAGTTTATCTGTACAATAAGCTCAATTCTCCCAGCCTCCAGAGTATGCATGATAGGAACAATTATTCGTTGCTTTTACACGTACAGATAGCGTTTGGTGGGTATCTGTCCACATGTCTCTCATATTTTCCGATATAAAAACTTAATCGTTTATCCTGTTGCTTCTCAGGAGAGTCATTTTCTCTATTGTGTTCAAAATCACATATTCATTTCAATTTTTCAAAACATCTGTTTTCTGAGACGCTTCACAAATTATCTGTCATCTTCATATTCATCGATTTATAAGAGAAAAATGATTTTCATACGTTTTCGGTTCCTCTTCAGACGCCATATTTAAATGTTATTCTAAGAAAACGTGGGAATATTTCTAAGCATATTGAGAAAACGAAACAGCATAAAGAACGTATGTTTTAAAAACAGAACAAAAAGCTGGACACACAACAATGGCGCTGGGGTAAATTACCTCACCGCAAAACAAAACACAATAAATCAATTAGGACTACTACAGACCTGGTTTCAAACACAAGAGCAAGTTCGAAGTCATGAAAGTAACTGGGGTCACATTTACCCATGCGAGATTTTTCAAGGATTGAGAAATTTTTTTTAGAAGTTATTGTAATGTCTGAGAAAAAGAGGCTTCAAATGCGAATTTGAGCTCTTTTTCAAGCAATGCACAGTTTTGAAAAACTTCAATGGAAGTTTATTTGATGAACTTTTACTCAAAATGCAATAGTATTGACAATCGCTACAAATGGGCATATTAATTGTGTATTTTTTTGAAAACCAAAAGAAACCCCAAATGAACTTTGACATATTAACAGTGAATAAGCAGCTTCTTAGTCGAGCGGCTTTGAGAAAAAATTTGTGCATTTTTTGTTGAAAAAGCCATTTAAGAGTTTCTGAAATTGGTAATTTTGGCTCAATTTACAGAAACTGTTGATAGTTACAAACATTGTGGTATGATTATTTGAAACACATTTACTCAGGAAATACATAATGTTAACAAATCACCACAAATGTAAATATTAATGACGTGAGAGGCTAGACAAAGAAAAAACTTGGTAATTTTCAAGGAAAATAAGAATAGAGCACAATGGGCGTTTATGTATACAGGATCATTATTATTTTGTATGTTTACGGACAAAATTTTGACTATCTACAAAAAAAAAAAAAAAAAAATTTAGTAATGGCGACTGGCGGTCGGAGGGATCTCTTGCCGGGCCCTGCGGGAGGGATGTCTCGAGGCCACTGTGGGTCACAATTGAAAGGATTCAATTTTATCTGCAGCAATCCATAACTCATTAGTTTTGCCGTGGGCTAATGGAACTTTTTCCAGGATCACGTCAAGAAGCTGGAGGTGCAGTGGCAATATAAGACGGTAAATATAAAAAAATGTAGGGTAAGCACCTTTCCTAAGTGCAGGATATTTTCTTTCCACTGCAAAGGTACTGCCATTATCACGGGTGATTACGTCTTCTCTAATGATGAAATGCTCAGCACCGTGTTTTATACACACACAATACACTTCAGCCACTCTATGTAGAAATATTGGTAAGAGTGGTTAGGCTGAAGAGCTACACGACTAATAAAGACATTAACATTATATTCTATCTCGTCCGTCGTACAAGTTGGCTTGCGGGTTATTCCACATCCAAGTATCTGTCCCCATCGGGGCACCATTCCAGCTATAAGATCCCGTCTGTTTTCGTGGTAGTGTAGGTGGAAGTGTGTAAGGAGCAAGGATGGGACAAGGAAAGGAAGAATGCACGGGTGAGGAAGAAAAGATCGCGTGCAATCCGTGGCACGTTTGTTAGGATACTACTCCAGCATTCGCGTCATTGTGCGCGCGATCGGAACAAGCGATCAGAGCAACCGCCCGCTAGAATTTATAGTTGAATCCCACGCAGCTATTTAGCGAGAAGCGAAAATTCGCCACTGTCGAGACTCGAATCATACGACCTCCTGGTTAACAATACAACAAACGACATTTCGGCTGAGCAACCGCAGCGAGTTGTGGGGTCAAGAGCAATTGTGGCTATGCTGTCAAGTAATGGCAATGAATAGCGAATGCATTACTATCATGCTCAGAGTATCAACAGCAAAGTACGGAACGTTTGACGAACACGGAGGGGAATCATCAATCTTCCTGGCAGCAAGCAACGATTGCGGAAGGGTAGCAACTGTCAATAAAAATTTCAATTGCTGGAATGAGTAAAGATTTTTCCTGTGCTATTGTCAGTTTGCGTACTATCCACCTTCATTAGTTTATGTAATTATTCATGTAGAAATATAAAATAGGATAGGACAATTTCCTCTTTTGTGGTTAGTAGTTTGAATACTAATATTTGATTGAAAAAAAAAAACAACCTTTTTTCAAACAAATTGATTTATTTATATCCATCTCAAGATCTACCTAAAATTTACATTTTTAAAGTACAAAGGCAATTTCTTTTATGTAATTTTATAAGATTGATAATTAATATTGTTTTAAGAAAACAAAAAAGAAGAAATAAACGAAGTTGTGACCATTAATATTTCTTCAATTGCATAGCAATAAAACAAACTCAATGGTGAAGATAATAAAACATAAGATCAGGATTTTCATTTTTAAAGGACATTTGTCCACTATGGAGTATATAAAAATATACTTCAGAAAATAATTTCAACATTAATATCAAGGTTTCAGATATAGCAAGATTGTTTTATAATTGTATATACTATAAAGAAACCTTTTCGTCACAAGGACAAAGTAAGATTAAAAAAATTCCCATTGAAAAATTACATTCAAAACAATTACAAAACACAATTTATATAATAAAATATATAAAATACTACATAAAACAACAGCACGTACTCTTTCAATTGTGTGTTCAATTCAGGATATTTGTTTTACATCATCTCAACCTCTAGTGCATAGAATATAGTTAAGAAATGAGTACAACAGTGAACAATGGTATCACAATAGTCAGTCTTTTAAAATTTTTCTTTTAAAACAAGTAATAAACAATATTAAAGCTAATAAGTATTAAAAAACTAAATTTGAGTCTGTTTAAAATAGGATGTTTCCAGAATGCAGCAAACATCACTTATTATCATCAGTCACATTACAAAATTAAATATGTTAAAATATCATCTTTAATTAAGATGTACAAAATCTATTTGTGTCTAAAAATAGTTTTTTGCAAGTATAATTTTTAGTTAGGCTGGGCATGATGCAGTTTATGAGTGCCTCCCACAATGTTGGCGATAATGCAATTGTAGACTGGTAACCACTTTGAAACGTTTGCCACAGCCTTGACACACATAGGGGCGCTCATTTGAATGCATGTACACATGGCGTTTGTAGTTTCCCTTTACACTGAAACTCTTTCCACATATCTCACAAATAAATGGGCGATCTACTGCATGGGACCAATAGTGATTCTCTAAATTGAAAGCACATTTAAAATTTTTACCACATTCAAAACAGTTAAGTTCATTTTCCGTGGTTCGGGTTTTAATATGGTTTGTGGTGTTACTCGGCAAAGCACCACTCTCCCTGCAGTTTGAATTGGTCTGGTCAGAAATGTTAGTCTGTTGAGCTAGATTTGCACAAGTTGTATGAGAAACATTAAGATCTTGCTCCTCTATACACATATTAACATCAACTTTTGAAACACAGGCAGCTTTATCATGCACAGCTGATTGCATCTTTTTTGATGAAGATACCAAGGGGTGCAAGTCACACTTTATTCCTGAAACTATTAAATCACCTTTCTTGTCTCTCTGAAACGAAAAAAAAACCATTAATTTTGGCATTATCCTCATACCAAATATTCCACATGCATAACGTTTACATTATACCTACACTCATAATGCCAACTTACTTGCAAAATCCCGTCTTTCCAAACATCTCGTAAAATAACAGAGCATTCTGAGAAATGGATATCCACATAAGCCTCTCCACTTATTATCTTGTTGTTTTCCTGCAACATTTATTGAAAGAATCACCACTAATAATGCTATAATTATTCTAGGACAAAACAGTTTTAACTAAAATTACATATTCAGTAAGTTCCATGTTATAACAAGATTTGCTAGAGGCATTAAGTGCAATACAATTGTTAATAGGGTTATTTCAGAGATAAATCACTGTCTCAATTTCAACCTGAGATTCAGCTTACATAGACAGTACATAAGGTTGTCTATAAGCAATGGAGGAGGAGCAAAATGAAACTGATAGCAAACCACAAGGCATATTTTGAAGTGGTAATTCCCAAGTAGTTATTCTGTTGTTAACCTTCAATACGATAAATTGCAAAATTTCCTGATGGAGATTCAGGCCTGAGAAGACGCTTAAGGATCTAGAACCTCACTTGGGTTTCAAACTGTATTTGCTGGCAAGGCAATGACTGACTTTAACTTTGCAATCAGACTAAGAAATGAAGAAAAGTCCGCTCTACAATATTTATGATGTAGAGTACCCGGTACAGTCGTGGGCACCAATATAGATATGGCCACAGTAACTGTAAGGGGGCTAATAATAATTTCAAACAGAGAGGTCCTCTGCATATAATCTGTGTCGTGTGTGTCTAAGTTTGCAACCCCGGAATATGAGTTGAATATGGCCACCCAATGAGTGTAAGTAAATTTGAATAGTGGGTTCGTTAGCGGAGGTGTGTCCAAATATTAATGATTTAAGTAAAAGCGTCTGTTTTTATTTGCAATCTGCTCAATATGTAGTGTAGTCAGGTTTATAATATACGTTTTCATGAGTATTTTCACCTTCTCTGAGCAGACCATAAGCCAAAATAGGTAGTGCCCATAGCTGTAAATATTTTTGACGTGCAGGACAATGATGGGCATGGAGTGCTTATCACTGTAATTATCACTGTAATTTGAGCAATCTATTCTTTATGCATTGCTGTAATGTTAATATTGAATTTTCGAACATTGTTTCCCTTAAGAGAAAATATACATTTAGAAATATTTTGAACACTGATGGCTACTGTGCCCATCACTGAAATTTGAATATAGCCAATAAACGTTCTGGGGTTAAATGTTATCATTAGGGGACGGATTTTGATGGCCTAAAACCACCCTCCAAAAAAAGACATAAAAATTGATTAAAACCATTTCAGATTATCAAATTACACTGATTTTGACGTATGAAGAAGCTCTGAAGACAAAGAAGTTCTCACAGTGAACGATTAAATATGTTGTATATGTTACTGATGTAATTAAGATCGCTTTGTTCACGTGAACTCAGTTTGAAAACTTTTGGATTGGACTGTTCTTTACCACAAAAACTCTCTCTTTTCTTTTCGTGGTGACAAAAGTCACTTTATTTTTCAGACGAATGAGCTCTGTTCTGAATTACAAATAATTTCAAATGCACTGAATCCGAACGCCTTAAGGATTCACCAGCCAGCAATGTCGCTGTATCTCCAACAATCAAGAGCGCTTCGAAGAAAGGAGTGCTAACATGGCGTCGAGAACATACTTCCGAGGCTCTCTCTAGAAAACACTTCACTCTGGTGTTGGGAGGAGGTAATATGCGACACCAGAAGCTTTGCAAAATTGTTTTAGAGCTTGTAGCCTTGTTCCCTGGAGCTCTGAAAGCTAAATGTCTCGGGCGGATGAGCAATGACATCGCAACAAATGTGGATAATGAAAACATTGTAACCACAGCACACAGAACAAATCATTGACATTTGAAATATTTTGCGATATTGTTGAAGAAAGAGGATAAAAGTTAAGAAAGAAATAAGCACTTCCATAGACATTTGTAAGATGTAAAGAAGCGGCAGAAAATTTCTTTTCTCTGGAAGTCCACGGAAGCATTTTCTTCAGGGCAGATTCCAGTGTGGAAACACATTGAAGAACTGCAATGAGTTCAGCCAATTGTGCTTTACAAATCATGCCTTTCCTCAGATGATTCTGTAGAGGAAAGTGATTCAGACAAAACTATATTTTTTGGTGTAAAATGTTTAAACTTATTGAATGACCGATGCTTAAACCAGCAGTAACAAGCCAATTGCTATTTGACTTTGTTGTGCTTTTTACAATCCATTTTTCTGAGTGCCCATTACTATATTACAAAGTGTCCACGATGGTCTTGAAAGTGCCCATCCCTATTTTTTCTGCCTTATTTTAGTTTCACATTTTATAAAATGTGAACTATACTGTTCAAATATTTAACTTACTAGCCTCATAAATGTACATGTATGTAGCAATTCATTTAGCAACTATGAATTTTCTATTGTTAAAATAAACAATTATAGATTGCATAAAACATACTGGTTGTCCATAAAGTGCCCATCACTGAGGGCTCTACCCTATTAATTTTGTCATTGTAGTTTTACTTTCTCGCCCTTCATAACGTACTTCTTAAGAAGAGAAAGTTAGCTCATGGTGCGGGGGAAAACGGCGAATTTTCTGCAGAAAAACTTATTGTCGGGCACTGGTAATGAAAAAGTGGATGAATCCAGTCGCTAAACTGAGAAAAAAATCCTCTAACACGTGGTGTGCTCAGAATCCATGTTCTGTGGGTCCTTGATACCAAAAAATTGAAGAGACGTGTCTGTGTGTGAAAAACGCTAGTGGTTAAACCGTTCAGCAGATTTTCTCCAAAATTGATATTTCCCAGTTGATATAGCTAATATCGCAACCCTTTGAATTTGAAATCGATATTATAGTTTTGGAAGGTACTTTACATAAAGTCGTTATGTAATGCTGTGCAAAATAACGGCGAAATTTCGGCAGAAAAATTCTTATTACAGGGCCCTGGTAACGAAAAAGTCGATAAATCCAGTTGCTAAATTTTAAAATAATCCTCAAACACGTGGTGTTGCCAGAATCCAAGTTTTATGGGTCTTTAATACCGAAAATCGATTAACGGCCAAACGTCTATTGGTCCGTTTGTGAACAACGCTAGCGGTTAAACTGTTCAGTAGATTTTCTCCAAAAGTGTTATTCCTCAATCAATCTGGCTGATGACGCGCCCCCTTGAATTTGAACCCAATATTTTAATTTAGGGGTTACTTTACGTGCAACTCCTGGGACATTTTCAAAAAAATAGTCATCGATTTTGATTAAAATTTGCTGTTGGATAGTCTGAAGAACATTTAAGAGCATGGCGCATGTGTCATGTTTTTAAAATCCTTGATTTTTCGAAAGTTGCAAAAATTCAAATAATTTTCTGCGTCTTCCTGCAACTAAAATATTTATGATAGATATTTTGTCTCTTAATAAAATCTGTTTCTTAAAGACAGATTTTAAAATAAGGTCACGTACAATTTTTCGAAAATTTGAGTATTTTTCGCACAATTCTGCATGAAATATAAGCAATTTTGTGTTTAAAATATTTTGTAAAAATTTTGTGTAAAATTCCTGATTTTTCGAAAATTGAAAAAAAAACGGCATCTTCCTACAACTACAGTTATGAAGATGCAACTTTTTTTAAATGAAAGGGGTTAATAAAAAACATCTTCAAATAAGATCATGTTCGATTTTTCAAAATTGTGAATATTTTTGTGTAAATTGGAATAGAATTTGAAACGATTAATTCGAATTTCCAGCGCTTCGTTTGAGGCGGTGTCAGTCTGCAAAAGTAATTTAAGAGGCAGTTAAGATATTCTGAAAATCCCTTCTCTTCGTTGATGTTCATGTAAATGTTGTTGATGTAAGTACATACTTTCTTAAGATTTTCAAAAACAATTCACATTGAAAGAAACCTCATTTTCTATCTCCTCTGGAAAGTTGTGTAGATTACATTACGTCGAGTAAGCGTTAGCGTAAAACATATCCTAAGATCATACGCAAAGAAAAATATTTCCTTAGTTTTTAAACTCGTTTGACTGTTCCATATTATTTATATCATTATCATTGTGGCCGATACGTCATGAAAGAGTCACGTCCAACTGGTTTTGCATATTGCAATTTCTACAGATAACTTTTTCTAGAAAATCCACATTTTATAAAGCAAAGAAAATGGAAGGGAAAACACTCTCCAAATGCAAACAAACATCTTAGAGTTATCCGATTGCATCATTACCCTTTATTCATTTAAGTGCTCTGTACGATATGACGCACCAGGAATTATTTATTCCCCTTCAAAATTACACAAATATAACATTTATTTTATATCAAAATAACTTGCCAAGTAAGCTGGGATAAGTCATTATTCATATGTTATTTCGATGCTTGTTACGGCGTTGGAGTCAGGATGCAGCTCGCCAGCCCGCTATTTTACCACCTTTTTAAAATTTGAAGTCGTAGGCTTCCGCGGCCGGAGTCATGTGAATGATCTTGGCTGTCCCGGTGACGCCGCGTCGAAGCTGTGTTGCCGACGTTTCGACCATTTTGTCGTGGTCCTTCTCAGGGCTGGTATGCCCATACATGCAGGGCTGGTATGCCCATGGCATACCAGCCCTGAGGAAGACCACGACATGATGTCACCCGGACAGCCAAGATCATGCACTTTTTTAAATTTGTCCGGAAGTACGAAAACATTTTTAAAATTAGCTTCGACTATTTTACTTGGGAAAAGAGATTCACCAGATGAACTCTTTAAAGCAGATAAACGTCGTTTTGAGATCAAAAATCGAGTTGTAGGGTAAAAGAGCACGTGCGTATACTCCACTCATTCTTTCCGGTATTTCACAACGGAAGATCTTAGAGCAAGGTGGATGAAGACCTTAGAAGTAAAATATCTCTAAAATAAGATGTGAGGAAATGGAATAATGGTGATATTTACTTAGTTATTCATTTTTTTAAAAAAACAGTTCCAAATCGGAATAGATATTTTGAGTAATGTCTCAACAATTTCAAGAGCGTATTCGACGGAAGAATGTTAAAAAGATAGTTATGTACTATTATTTCATACAGTTTACCACGGTGTGTAATAGTAGTATAGCATTTCTAGTTTGGTAACTGTGGAAAAATTGATTGAGATGCAAAGTGACGAAAGCATAAACCGACTGTCAGGCTTGCGTATCCCGCAAGTCCCGCCTGCTCTGCCGGGGCTGGCCGCACGCCGCCTGTGCGACAGAGGGTCCACAACAATCAGGTGGGTGAGGCAATGGCGCAAAAGGGGAGGGGGGACGAGGTGTTTTCCTAAATTTCACTTTACGACGCGGAAGATTTGCATGATAGTCACGGCGTTGGATTCAGCAAGCATGTCGCCATCGCGCTATAAGCCCACATTTTTTAATTTTTTTCTCGGAAGTATGAGAATTAATTTTAAATTTGAGTTTTTGCTAGATTTTTGGGAAAAGGGCTTCGTAGCGTAAATTATATTTTAAAAAAGGCGTCAAATGCCGTTTACAGATCGAAAATCGGACCATTGGTTCAGACTTTATCAGTAAAGCAAATTCCACTGTAATAGTGCTGCGATCTATTGAATTTTCCTACAAGTATTTTTCGGTGCATTTAGCCTTAAGACAAGGTAAAAGAGATGCTGCTTAAATATAATAAACTTTCAATTGCTTATTCTATCTGATGCACAACAATTAAGAAAGTGTGCAGATTGTTGCATCCAGAACCAACTTTAAAAAGTGAAGGAACGATATCATTCCTCGACCTGAAGCCTACGACTTCATCTTTATTCCATATTTGACTGGCTTGGATTATTTGAATTGCCTGAATGGACATCTTTCCCCACACCCTTCAGGCTTTTTGTCAACATCCATCATACCACCCGAAGAAATATAGCTTTGAAATTTCTTCACTACATATTCAAATATCGCCTTTCATGGAGTCAAGCGGTCTTTTATTGATTTTGAGTTAGAACATCACAAACTGTATAGCCCTCAGTACGAATTCAAATTGTGACCAAAACATTACGCATTTGAATATATGTAATCCCAAACCATCATCTGCCCATAATTTTGTGTATTGGTGTGTGAAGCCTCATTCACTCCAGCAAGATACAATAAGCCTATTAGCGCTTTCATTTCCGGCAAGTCTGTCTCGACTGAATTTGACTCTCATCAAATATATCATTTTGTTTGTGTAGTTAACAATTTGTAACAAAAGTTTATCTGTAACAAATAAACTCCAATTCTCCCAGCACTCCAGAAGTATGCATGATAGGAACAATTATTCCTTGCTTTTACACGTACAGATAGCTTTGGTAGCGTATCTGTCCACAATGTCTCTCCATATTTTCCGATATAAAAACTTACATCGCTTCTATCCTGTTGCTTCTCAGGAGCGTCATTTTCTATATTGTGTTCAGAATCACAATATTCATCTTCAATTTTCAAAACATCTGTTTCTGAGATGCTTCCACAAATTATCTCGTCATCTTCATATTCATCGATTATAAGAGAAAACTATTTTTCAATACGTTTTCGTTCCTCTTCAGACGCCATATTTAAATGTTATTCTAAGAAAACAGTGAATATTTACTAACGCATATTGAGAATAACGAAAACAGCATAAAGAACGTAATGTTTTTAAAAACAGACCAAAAAGCTGGACACACAAAACACTCGCATGGGGTAAATATAACCCCACAGCAAAAAACAAAACACAATAAATCAATTAGGACTACTACAACCTGGTCAAACACAGAGCAAGTTCGAAGTTCAATGAAAGTAACCTGGGGTCACATTTACCCCATGCGAGCATTTCAGGATTGAGAAAATGTTTTTTAGAAGTTATTGTATGTCTGAGAAAAAGAGCTTCAAATGCGAAATTTGAAGCTCTTTTTCACAGACAATCACAGTTTTCGAAAAACTTCAATGAAAGTTATTTGATGAACTTTTACTCAAAAATGCAATAGTATTGACAAATCGCTACAAATGGGCATATTAATTTGTGTATTTTTTGAAAAACAAAAGAAAACCCCAAAATGAACTTTGACATATTAAACAGTGAAATAAGCACTATTAGTCGGAGAGGTTTGAAGAAAAAAATTGGTGCCATTTTTGTGAAAAAGCCATTTTAGAGTTTCTGAAATTGCGTAATTTTGGCTCAATTTCACAGAAACCTGTTGAGTTTACAAACAATTGTGTATGACATTATTTGAAACACAATTTACTCAGAAATACACTAATGTTAACAAATCACCACAAATGTAAATATTAATGACGTGAGAGGCTAGACAAGAAAAAAAATTGTAATTTTCAAAGAAAAAAGAATAGAGCAAAAATGGCGTTTATGTCATACAGAGATCATTATTATTTTGTCATGTTTACGGACAAAATTTTGAACTATCCTTACCAAAAATAAAAAAAAAATTGGGGCCGTTTTCTAAAAAATCATGGTTTAGTTAATTTTCTTAGAATTTGTTTCCTAATAGTAGCATGGAAATATTATTTTAAGAATATTGAAGAACAGTAAAAGCACCTCCTAAATGGCAATTTTGTTTGCAAAATTGGAAACCGTTTTTAGGAAAGTGGCGATTGAGCGCTACTGTAAATTCGAAATTTGAAGTTCTTTTTCACAGCACATTTTTGAGTTTTCGAAAAACTCATTATAAGTTTCTATTACAGGCAACATTAAGCACTTTAACTCAAAAATATAATAGTGCTAACAAATTGCTAGAAAAGTGCATATTAACGACGTGAGAAATATATCAAAAAATTACATTTGTGTAATTTTTGAAAAACCAAAAAGTAAACCAAAATGAACTGAACGTCACGTGCAATTAGCACTATCCGTTCGAAATGCTTGCAAAAACATTTGGAGCCGTTTTTAAGAAAACGGCTTTTGGGCGTTTCTGAAAATGCAGAATTTTGAGCTATTTTTCGGTTGAAAACGGTTGAATTTTTTAGTAACTTTATATGACATTATTTAAAGCACATGTACTCACAATTATAATCGTTTCTCATGTACAGTTTCTAGAGAAAATTTCTATTTTCTGAGAAAACGAGCTGAAAATTCCGCATTTTCAGAAACGCTCAAACGCCATTTTCTCAAAAACGGCTCCAATTTTTTCTTCAAATGGAAATACATCTTTTGTGGTCCCCCAATTCCGAAAAAGTATTTTTTTTAAAACGTCTGTCCGATCGTCAATCTGTGAACATCACTAGCGCCTAAACCATACGTAGGATTTTTTTCCAAATTGACGAAACCCACGTCCATCTGACTTGAGACGGAGCTTTCAGATTTTGAAAAACATTCTTTAAAATATAGTGGTACTTTACATGAAGTCCCTCGGACATTTTCAAAATTTTCTCCAAAAGTGCTCTAACTTTTTTCTTTAAATTTCTTTTAATAATGTAGTAAAATACACTTATAAACGTAGCATAGGTCTGATTTTCACGGTAACACTAATTTTTTGAAAATTCCAAAAGTATAATTTGTCTGCTGTAATTAGTTCTTTCATTAAGTTCATGTACACTTTTTTGTAACTTAAAGTAGTTTTTGCGCAGTATTGCAAGAATTTGTGCAATTTTGAAAAATAACAGAAACAAGATTTACTAAAAAAGACTCCAAATTTTTTTACACGTTTGGTAAGTATATTGCTAAAATGCACTTTTATTTGATGACATAACTGCCTTATGTTTTCCTTATTCTTTTGTTTCTTTTGTAACTACAAAAAATGTATTTTTTTACTTGACATTGTTATAATTTACATTAGCAGCGAATTGTTCACATTATTATACAGGTCAAAAATGGCTTTATAAATTTCAAGGTATATAAATTGAGAAATGTTTTTAGAAGAATTGTTACAGGTGTCATTTTGTGACGAAAGGCATCAAGACGTACATGAAAGCATCACTTTGGTTCGTTGTGAGTACCATTGATACGGAAAACATCCCACCGAAAATCAATTTCTTCCCACACTCGTGCCAGCAAATCGGGCGTTAACTCTGTAGACTCCCAGAGAAAGAAATCCATCGGCGTCAATTCTGGGAAGCGATGTGGCCATGCAATTGGCCCTGCACGACCAATTCACCGGCCTGGGAAGCGATTATCCGAACAACTTGAACTTCTGTGAAGAAATGAGGTGCTGCACCGTCTTGCTGGAAGTAAAACGGCACAACTTGTTCATGTAACTGGGGAATTAAGAAATTCTCAAGCATATCCAGATACGCTATCCCGTAGATATTTTTCTCCATGAAGAAGGGCCATACACTTTGAATTTGATTATGGCATAAAACACTTTCACATTTGGGCTGTCACGAACGTATTCAAGGGTTGCACCTGGATTTTCAGTGCCACATATTCCTCAGGTGTGGTAGTTCACCTTGTCATTCAGATGAAATGTGGACTCATCATTGAAGATTATTTTGTTCAGGAATGTCTTGTCCTCTTTCACCCGACTCAACATTCCCACAAAGAATTCTCCCCGTGCAACTTTATCTAAATCAGTATTTTTTGTACCATTGTCAATTCGTATGGTTTCAAAAGTAAACGTTTACGTAATATACTCCATGCAGTCTTTTGTGAATTACCAGTTTCTCAAGTCACACGTCGCGTTGATTTCTTTGGACTGCCGGCAAAGCTTTCCCTCACCTGTTCGATGGCAGCATCAGCAACATGCGGGCGACTTTGTGATTTATCATGTCTAAGAGAACAACCAGTTGCAACAAAGCACTTGTGCCAACAGAAAATTGTAGGCCTGCTTGGAGGTTTTTGAGCGTATTTGATACGAAATTTACGCTGAACTGTGGGTTAAGAGTTACTTTCACGAAACCAAAGCATTCAGCTATCTCACTCCGCACCAGTGAAATGAGTAATTTTAACAATGAACTACGTTGGTGCTCCCGGTGAATGAATATAGTTCTGCGGTACTGTGTGAGTCAAACTCGAGGCCTTTTGTCACAAAACGACTCCTGTAACCATTCTGTAAGTTATCTCAATAAACAATTATATGCCTTGAAACTTGTAAAGTCCTTTTTGACACACCCTTTAGTCGTGAGTTCACGTACTTTGAATAATGTTAAAGTGTCTCAAAAACTCAATAATTTTCTATGAAAATGAGCTCAAAATTCCGCATTTCTAGAAATGCTCAAACGCCATTTTTTAAAAAAATGCTCCAAATTTATTCTTCAAAAGAAAATATTTGAAATGTACATTTTTCAAACAAATGTTTCTATACTGTAACTAATATTGCATCACCTGCCGGAATTCGCTCCGCACGTATTGCGTCATCTGCCGGCGCCCCCCTTCCCCCCGAACTGGACGGTTCCGGGCTATTCGTGGGGAAAGGTGGAGTAAGTGCTGGTTGTGTTGAGACGAGCGCTGGCCAGGTATAAATTCGCCGCTGCCGGCGGCCGCTAGTAGTCAGCCGCGAGACAGTGTATGTAATCAGTCAAGTAGTAAACAGTCAGTGTGTCTGAAGTGTCTGAGCTGTAAATTGTGCATTGCGATGAACAGTGGTGCAGTGGGTGAACAGCAGTCAGCAGTTTGAAGTCTGCAGTGCAAGCTGAGCTGTGAAGTGTGAATCGCGGTAAAAAGCAATGTAGTGGACCCTGGTCTGCGCTGTGAATTATGGTCAGTGCAGGGAATTGTGGACTGCGCAGGGAGCCGTGGACAGTGCATAGGACTGTGCGAGTGTAGATTGCACAGAACAGTGTAAATAAACAATCAGAAAAAGTGAACTGTGTAAATAAATAATCAAGAGAACGAAGTCGTGTGTAAGGAAAATAATTAAGTGTAATATTTCTGTAAATAGATAAGTAGTTTTTAGTGTATAATTGTTTAAGAATAAACGTTTTTGTTAAATAATCCCTGTGTTGGTTTTAATGCACCACGGAGAAACGTTACAATATATTAACATTATATTCATTAACATTATATATTAGCAATATATTATATATAATTCACTTTCAATATATGCTTTGTATAACAGTAAACAATTTATTCTTTTGTAGCTTCCGAGTTTTTTACACCTGGGTTGCGAATATTACTCCCTGTATAGCGGCTGAATTTCTCGATATTTTGCCAGTGTCAAAAGTTCGCCACCATCGGGACTCCAACTCTACGCCTTTCCGGCACCGTCACAGCAGAGACAAAGGTAATGATGGCTCTGGGCACTCACTCAGCCTGCTGATGACAGCCGGCCCTCTGGGCGTACTTCTCGAGCTACTTCGTGAGAGTGGCAACCCTGATCATTGGCTGTGATTACATAAACAAATTCTGGCAACGATTGCTCCGGACTGTGTCACTCCACGCAGCGTAGCACTAGGCGCGGAGCTGCCCGGGACGCGCCTGCGCAATCCGAACTAAAGAGATTCGTTATAACTTACCTTGGCAGTCCAGTTAATATTCTCAGAATCTGAAGTCACCCCTTCTCTCATTTCCAATATCTGAGCAGTTATACCTTGCTGCCTTGTCAACACGCCCGGGACCTGAGGTACCTCAAGTGTCTCAACGTGATTTGGGTCTGTTCCTGGAAAATATAGGTCACACGTATTCGTTATCAGCTATTTGAACACTAAAATGCCGACCACCATTAGAACAGTGTTTAAAAGGGAAAAAAATAATAAGTAAATCTAACTTTTACCTTGCGGATAACATTCGTTATAACACTCAGACCATTCGTTTCCTTCTTTCGGCACAGATCCATCTGTTACAGTTATTTGGTGATGGGAAGGTTTTTTATTTTTTTGATAACTATCGAAACGTACGTTTTTACAATACTTCGTACTACATTCTCCTTCACCAACCTCCTTCTTCGTGCTCTGAAACTGTAAATATCCTATTGTTACAAATATATCGCATAGTAAAGCATTGGTCCAAATCAGTGTCACAATGACTCACGCAAGCCTTTGATCGTCCTTGAAGCCCTCTGATTTGTAATATTTCGGCTGCAATCATGAGCTCTTCAATTGTGTCGTCACAGAAACGCAGATCGCCATAATAAACAAATTCAATTAACGTTTTCAGTTCTCGAAATTTAATATCTCTGTGTAGAACAAATACGTCTTTCCCCCGTGATTGAAGAAACAAAGACTAAAAAAACAAACAAAGTAACAAATAAGTGAAATAGATTGGCATTAACAATTTGCTCACACTTATTGCATTAAAGCAATTGGATGCATACTGCAAGATTATTTTGGCATTGCGACTTGCTTGTTTTTAATTTTTAAATTACAAAGACAACTAAATTTCCGATCAAGCGAAAAATAACCTGACATTCAATTTTTTTAAATAATAATTTTTGTAATATTTTGTGGTCATGTAATGTTTTTAATACAATAATGTTGAGCAGAACTTCCACATCATATAAGTTGCATAACTCAAAAAATTTCCTCCGTCAAGACTTCTATAAATTGAAGCGAGTAATGTTCTGTCCATCAAATGAAAATCGTAATTAGTTTACCTACATACTTCACGAAATCTAGGTTCTGATATCATTTAATAAATTTAACTGATAAGATTGATAAACTATTCCAAACGTCAAAAGCTTTTGAAAGATCTAAAAATATTCCAATAGGTGCTTCGTTTTGATCCATGGATGAGGAGACATCTTTAAGAAAAGAAAATATGACTGTTTCCGTAGATTTTGATTTTCGAATCCTATGTTGGTAATCTAAAACAACGTCGTACTTACTAAGAACGATTTCCATTCGTACGTAAAAAAAGACAAAGAGAAATTGGCCGATAACTTTGAGTTTCATTTTTGTTGCCTTTTTTGAAAAACGGCTTAATCTTAGCTGTTTTTAAAATTATCTGGAAAAAATTCCTATGCACAAGAATACATTAAATAAGTGAATTAACGGGTATATAATGACGGGGGCACAGGTCTTTACAAGCAATTCGGAAATTCATCTAAACCGACAGAATATTAATTTTTTAGTCTACCATTTTGGGAATTTCATAAGTTTTGGAAACGAACATCATGTCCAAAATTTTTGGGGAAACGTCTGATTCATAATTTTGTGGCTGAAGACCCTTAGTGAGATAAGCAACAATTCTCGAAAAGTACTGGATAAAGGACTAGCCACTGTCGTCAGATCGTTCACATTTCTATCGTTTTTTTTAAAACAACATTCTCTACAAGGTTTCTAGTTGATTTGATCGATTTTTTTACTATATTCCACATCGCGTATGTGAGTTTATAATATCCCGATAGTGTTTCATGATTTTAATTTGCTTTTTGAATTTTCTTAACTATTATTTGTATATTTTTAAAGTAGAGGAGGAAATCTTGAGATACGTTACGATGCTTGGAAATACAAGAAAGAATTCGTTTGTTTTTACATGATGCCCCAATCCTTTGTTATCCAAGAATTGCTTTTCCTTGAAATATTTAATTTTCTTTTTTGAAGAGGAAAGCAAGTATTACAATGAAATGAAAGCGTTGGGGAAAAAAATGTATTTATCGGATGTATCAACAGTATTATAAACTGCGTTCCATTACTCTTGCAGCAAGTAATTAATGAATAATTTTATTTTACTTTTAGTAAACAATCTACTCATGCGTGTATTATTTATTGTGCCAGTGTTCGCATTTCTTATAATGGTAATAATTTGTGCATCGTAATCACTATATATTAAATCTTTTATTTCAATATCATATCGAGTAGTGGTTTTGTTAATTATTATTTGATCGATTGCATTCTTTGATTTTCCGCAGCATTACATAATTTTCTCTTTACGACGTATATTTGTACGTATTCGAGAAAGTAACTAGTAGGTGATACAGTATATCACAGGCTTACTCGTACCAATTAGTTTCCTAATTTCTTTGGTGTAGGCTAGCTTTCGGACTTGCCACTACTTGATTCTGAGAGGAAAATACAAATCATAGTTAAGAAAATTCAGAAAGCAAGCTAAAACTTTTAAAAAATGTGCATGGCCTTAATGAAAGGACTAACTATGGAGAAAAAGTTAAGCCGAAAAAAATTAAAACTTGGGAAGTTTCAGAAAATTCAGAGTTAACAGTAAAAAAATTATAAGAGTATTTTACTCTATTCTTTCAAAAAAATTTGGAACCATTTTTGAGAAAATTTTGAAAATGTCCCTGGTGTTTTATATAAAGAACTCTCAAATTTTAAAGAATGTTTTTCAAATTTGCAAATCTTCGAGTCGAGTCTCCAAAGTATGTTTTAGGCGCTAGTGGTGTTCACAGGCGACAGTCGTTTCGCCGTCAATCGATTTTTAGGAATCAAGGACCTATAAAACATGAATTCTCGCTACACCGCGTGTTAGAGGATTTTTTTTTCATATTTTGGCATTTGGAAAAATCTACTATATCGTTATCAATGCCCGGCAATAAGTTTTCTGCCGAAAATTGGCTGTTTTTCCCCCCGCAGCATTACGTAACATTCTATTTACTGCGTAAGTGGTAGCGAGAAAGTAAAATTCAATAAGGGTGAAGAAAACGAAAAATGTTTAATTTTTGCAATTTGCAATTAGACAGTCAATTGAGAGAAAAGTCTTGCCTCCATAGCACGAAGATTTAGTACACAAACATTAAGTCAACTCATTTTAATTTTGGATTAATGCCAGTTTTGGAGAGCTCTCGTTCATGTCTATTTAGTTCACCAAGATTGAATGTCCATATAGGACGAATCATGCTTTTTCCCACGAGAACATTGTCGTTCCACAAGGTACTTCACATTTACAAATTTTTAAGCTTGCTTTTCTCGAAGCTAGAAATTCTGGGCATACACTACGTGTGTTGTAAACCATCAATATAATGCTTTAATCTGAAACAAGTGCTTATTAACAAACGCTTAAAAGTGTACCGTTTATAGCAGAAATTAAACAATTGTTCAAAAAGGCAAGAGTTCAACAATCCTGGATTCGAGCTCTCACATGCAAGTGTTCTCGCACTACTACACAACAAAGATCACGAAGACTATTTGGTTTACATTTCGGATATATTTTTCCGATATGTTGACAAACACCTAAACAGTTTACAGACCAAGCTCCATGAACCAGCCTTCATTATAATTATGGTCACATGAATTCTCCATGTTTCAACCAAGATTACGACAAAGATTAGCGATCACACTATCAAGTAGGTTACATTAGTCAACGAAATAGGTATGCATTGCAGAAAGACAAACAAACACACGTCACCTTTGTCATGATAAAATTCCGTGCATTTCTACTGATAAATATCTCAAGTGGGTCCAAGTTTGAGTGAGCACGTATTCTCCAGAGCTGACAGATTAGGTGACACATTCCCGCCTAGTTGGGCAGATCTTTTTTAAATTTCTTGGCCTGGGCCGTACGAACAAGTATGTTTTCTTAAAGCTACAAGCGTGTACAATACACAAACACTAACTGAAATTTAGGATTTTATTAATGATTTTTGTACTGAGTTAATATTATAGGAATGAAACGTCTACGACTCGTAGAAAACTTCCCGTTATATTGTTATTATTATTATTATTATTATTATTATTATTATTATTATTATTGCTATTATTACACTATTATTATTATGACTGCAGAGTTTCACTTTATTCAACGTAACCCCTGAAATTGAAATATCTGAATCACCAATGATTGTGCCTCCAGTGGTTGATTGGGAAATTCATTCATTCTTTGGTTCCAGTTCGCGTTCCTTCTGACTTCATCTGAAAGGTGCATCATTACATCATTATGAAGTAAACAGCTAAGTAAGTAAACTTTAGTCAAAAGTGATGGTGAAAATAAATGACTTCAAGTTCCGAATATTAGCAATCTCTCTAGAAAACTTATCTCTTGGCGATGTTACATAAACTAATAGTCGAAATTTTACGGCTGGAGATCGAATCGTTCACATTAGCTAACACGAGGTTGCTAGGGAGGGTAAGTACGTTACGGTGACGGAATAGAAGACATGTGAGAAAAAGGTACTGGTGAGCAGTTCCTAAGGCTAGTGAAATACTTGGAGCGAGGTAGTTAGTTCGAGTTCCAACGTGTCAGACATATATCTTTCCAAGATACGACCTAACCTAATTTCATCACAGAGCTAGTACCACCCCGGCTCGAATTCTGGCGGAACGCGCCAGAACTGCGAATCGGCGTTGCGACAGCTCCGGAACTAAATTGTAAAGAAAAAAATTAGAAGTACATGTTTGTTGCAACTAACAAAATTAGTCAACAAAATTAAATATTTTTTTCTACTTAACTATCATTTCTAGGCATATAAAAAATATTAGTAAATAATTGATAAACATATTATACCTCAATAGTACATTATGAAACGATGATGTCATGATGGATATTAATACACGAGTGTGATATTACGATACGAGCGAGGAACGAGTATCGTTAACTTCACAAGTGTATTAATAATAATTACATAAGAGTTTCATACGGTACTTTCTACGACTTATGGTAGCTTTTATAAGTTAAACTTTTACTGAATCGTTTCGTGGCAGTTGACAGCCTTACCCTACCCTGCCGCAGGTGGCTTTGGTTACCAGTCCGTCTGCGACGGAGTACTGAGCTAGTAAAATAGAATCAAAGTGAAATTACGACCCAGTTTATTGTAAATAATATTCCCAAAAAATACTACTCATAAAGTAAATTAAAACGGACCGAGCGAAGTGGGGCAGTGCGTAGCCCGCTTGATTCGCAATGGTGGTGGTGGTGGGGGGGAGTTCGATCCCCAGGCCGGCCATCCTAACCTAGGTTTTCGTTGTTTCCCTAGTACACAATGGGAATGTTGGGATTGTTCCAAAACCCCACGAACACCTCCCACTACCCCACCTAACACCTACCATTCTCCTTGTCCTTCCACTTCATAATTAAATGATGATGATGATAAGAAAAATAAGAATATTCTAAGCCCCCCCCTGAATTAATATTCAAGGCTAACAACCAAGGGATGCAGCCGAAAGGCTTATCCCCATAATTCCACGTTTTCTCTCCAGGATAGAATACAACTGGGCCTCGGAGAGAAAAAATGTGTTGCGAGGTGAGAACTGGCCCATACGCAGATGATAATAATATAAATTAAAACGGACAAACATAATATAATATTACATGCAATTTTAATGCCCACAATC